CCTGGCCAACATGGTGAAACCCTGTCTCCACTAAAATCCAAAAATTAGCCAGGCATGGTGGTGGAGACCTGTAGTCCCAGCTACTTGGGAAGCTGAGGCAGGAGAATAGCTTGAACCCAGGAGGTGGAGGTTGCAGTGAGCCAAGATCACACTACTGTACTCCAGCCTGGGTGACAGAGCCAGACTTCATCTCAAAAAGAAAGAAAGAAAACAGAAAAGAAATCAGGCAATATGATGCCTCCAGATTTGTTCTTTTTGCTTAGTCTTGCTTTGGCTGTGCAGACTTTTTTTTGGTTCCATATGAATTTTATAATTGTTTTTTCTAATGCTGTAAAGAATGATGGTGGTGTTTTGATGGGAATTGCATTGAATTTGTAGATTGCTTTTGGCGGTAGTCATTTTCACAATGTTGATTCTACCCATCCATGAGTATGGGCTGTGTTTCCATTTGTTTGTGTCATCTGTGCTTTCTTTAACCGTGTTTTGTAGCTTTCCTTGTAGAGGTCTTTTGCCTCCTTGGTTAGGTATATTCCTAAATATTTTGTTTTTTGCAGCTATTATAAAGGGGGCTGAGTTCTTGATTTGATTCTCGGCTTGGTCGCTGTTGTTGTATAGAAGAGCTACTGATTTGTGCACATTAATCTTGTATCTGGAAACTTTGCTGAACTCTTTTATCAGTTCAGGAGATTTCTGGATGAGTCTGTAGGGTTTTCTAGGTAAACAATCATATCATCAGCAACAGTGACAGTTTAACTTCCTCTTTACCAATTTAGATGCCCTTTATTTCTTTCTCTTGTCTGATTGCTCTGGCTAGGACTTCCAGTAATATATTGAAGAGGAATGGTGAGACTGGGCATCCTTTTCCTGTGCCAGTTCTCAGACAGAATGCTTTCAACTTTTCCCCATTCAGTATTATGTTGGTTGTGGGTTTGTCATAGATGGCTCTTATTACATTAAGATATGTCCCTTGTATGTGGACTTTGCTGAGAGTTTTTTTTTTTTTTTTTTTTGAGATGGAATTTCGCTCTTGTTACCCAGGCTGGAGTGCAATGGCGCAATCTCGGCTCACCGCAACCTCCGCCTCCTAGGTTCAGGCAATTCTCCTGCCTCAGCCTCCTGAGTAACTGGGACTATAGGCGTGTGCCACCATGCCTGGCTAATTTTTGTATTTTTAGTAGAGATGGGGTTTCACCTTGTTGACCAGGATGGTCTCGATCTCTTGATCTTGTGATCCACCCGACTCGGCCTCCCAAAGTGCTGGGATTGTAGGCGTGAGCCACTGTGCCCAGCTCAAGAGTTTTAATCGTAAAGCGAGGCTGGATTTTGTTGAATGCTTTTTCTGCACCTATTGCGATGGTCATGTGATTTTTGTTTTAAATTCTCTTTATGTGATGTATCACATTTATTGCATATGTTAAACCATCCCTGCATCCCTGGTATGAAACTCACTTGATCATGGAGGATTATCTTTTTGATATGTTGCTGGATTCAGTTAGCTAGTATTTTGTTAAGGATTTTAGCATCTATGTTCATCTGGGATGTTGGTCTGTAGTTTTCTTTTTTGGTTATGTCCTTTTCTGGTTTTGGTATTAGGGTGATGCTGGCTTCATATAATGTTTTAGGGAGGGTTCCTTCTTTTTCTATCTCATGGAATAGGGTCGATAGGATTGATATCAATTCTTCTATGAATGGTGGCATTCTGCTGTGAATCTGTCTGGGCCTGGACTTTTTTGTTTTGTTTTGTTTTGTGTGTGTGTGTGTGTGTGTGTGTGTGATGAAGTTTTGCTCTGTCTCCCAGGCTGGAGTGCAATGGCATGATCTCGGCTCACTGCAACCTCTGCCTCCCATGTTCAAGTGATTCTCCTGCCTCAGCCTCTTGAGTAGCTAGAATTACAGGCGCCTGCCACCATGCCTGGCTAATTTTTTGTATTTTTAGTAGAGACAGCGTTTCACCACATTGGCCAGGCTGGTCTCAAACTCCTGACCTCAAGTGATCAGCCTGCCTTGGCCTCCCAAAGTGTTGAGATCACAGGTGTGAGCCACTGCACTTGGTTGAGATAGTAGGTTTGTGTTGTGTATGGCACCCAGTGTGTGGTACTTTGTTTTGGGAGCCCGAGCAGAAGTAAGTCCTTCTTGCCTTCAAGGAGTGGTTCCAAGGTGTTTGTGCCCCACTTGAGAACCATTCTCTGTTGAGGCAACTGCAGTGACCAGAAGGTACATCCTTGGGGCAGGAACCAGGGATATTCCTCACTACATCCTTCACACACCAGCCTAGAATGGGCTCCGAGGACATTTTATTCCAACAATGTGTACTGAAAGAATGACCACAGGTGACCTGCAGTTCTCCAAGGCCCCTAACCTCTTTCTTGGAAAATTGTAAGACACTTGACTCCCCTGGGGGTTGGTGGGAGAGTTCATATGGCTCACGAAGATCAAAAGAAGCAAGCCTGGAAGCTTTGTACCAAGTTTTAGTAGCTGAAAGGGATTATAACTTGGGTCTCAAAAATGCTGTTATTTAAAAGCTGAAGGATGAGTAGTCATATTGCTCTTTTTTATTTTTCAACTTTTCTCTCCAACTATCCACCTTCTAAGGGGGTTTAAAACTGGCAAGGGCTATATAGGGATGAAGGAGGTGGTAACATCTGCCAGGGCTACCCTGGGGTGTGGCACACAGGAAGAGTCACATTTACAAAGGGCCTCATAATCAGCTTCTGGTACTGTTGCCTAATGATGTTATGCAGGCATTTCCTGGGATTTGTGTGTGTGTTAGAAGAGTTATCTCATTAACTGTAAAGTTTTCAAATAGTATGCAGTCTATTTAAACTTCTTTGCCATTAATTAAGTTTTGTTTTTAAAATTAGGAAGGCTCAAGAAATAAGAGTGGTCAGGGCCTGTCCTCAGCCTTCAGAGGGTCTGAAACTCCCAAAAAGATCTTGACCCAGTGGTTTTTCTGCAATGCTGAGTTAGCTGCACTGTGAGATGCAGTTAGATGCTTCTTTGTTCTTTTACTACGTTATGGTAAAAGATGCTGAGATGCCAAGTTAGGATTGGTGACCCAGCGTTCCTCTCCCCTCTAAGGTCATCTAGCCCAGTGCAGGGCCACTTGTCCTGAGATGCTGATTATTCTTATCTTCACAGGAATCCCAACTCACTCCCATGGAAGAATTTTTGGCTGAAAATAGTCCCAAATGGTAACTATGTTATGGACTGGATGTTTGTGTCACCCTAAAATTCATATGCTGAAATTCTAAACCCCAATGTGATGGAATCAGGAAGTGTAGGCCTTTGGGAGATAATTAGGTCACAAATGTGGAACCCCTGTGAATGCGATTTGTATTCTGAAAGGAAAATATCTTGGGCCCCCAAAATCACTAAGGAAAACTCAAACTGGAAACTGCTTAGCGCAAACATGTCTCCCATTCTATTCTATCCAAAGTCACTCCTGTGCTCACTGAAATAGATGCTTATCTGATTTGCCTCCTTTGGAAAGGCTACGCAGAAACTCAAAAGAATGTAACAGTTTGTGTCTTCCCTATCTGTGATCTGGAAGGTCCCTCCTTGCTTTGAGTCTTCCAGCCTTTGCTTCAAGTTGTCCCGCCTTTCTAGACTGAATATATTAATTGATGTCTCACGTCTTCCTCAACGTATAAAACCAAGCTGTGCCTGACCTCTGTGGACACATGTCGCCACGACTTCCTGAGGCTGTGCCTCGGGTGCATCCTCAACCTTGGCAAAATAAACTCTAAATTAACTGAAATCTGTCTCCGATTTCCTGAGTTCACAGTACTTTTAGAAAAGAGACCACAGGAAGCTATCTAGTCTTCTTCCCACTGGAAAAGAAGGGCCGTCTATGAAGCAGCCCTCCCCAGACACTGAATCTTCCAGTGCCTTGATCTTGGACTTCTCAGCCTCCAGAATGGTGGGGAATAAATGTTTTCTATTTAAGCCACTCACTTTGTTGTATTCTATTCTATTCTAGCAGCCCAAGCTGACTAAGACACTGTCAAAAACAAATGATAACCTCGCCTGGTTCTTTTTTTTCCTTTTAGTAGACTTTCCAAAAATCTAGCTCTGCCCAGTGGAAAGGCTATATTAATATCAGATAACAGAGACAGCCTGATCAATTTTCTTACTTTATAGTTTCACCTGACATTCTAGATCATAAGAATTTGTAATTTGCTAATTCAATGAGATTTCATGGAGGAGTTATAAGGATAATTTCCAGGACAGAAAAAGACCACAGAAAAAAAGATTAATATTGAAGAAGAGAAAGCCAAAGGGTGACAAGCTTCACTACAAGGGCCAGTTGCCCTTCCCCAAACTCATGGTAGAGAAAAACAAGAAACAGACTAAAATAGAACAACACAAATTTATATTAGCCTCCACAAGCAGTTTCCCAAAGACTGTGTTCACGACCATGCGGTGAAAATCTTACAACGTCTCTTTAGAATTTCAGAATGGTAAAGCTGGGGTGGAATTTAGGATCCCATGAGTGAAAAGTTCTCCTTTTGCAGAAGAGGATTCTGAGAGCCATGCGTGAGTGGAAGTGTCAGGAATAGAATCCGGGTGCCTAACACTTAGCTGCCATCTTTAATACTTAGCTTCTTATTTAGTCTAACCCAGTTCAGAGGTTATAGAGTCGCTGATTTCTTAAAATTCCTTCTGGATTACACAGTTGCTGATTCTAAGCAAGAGTCATAGGATGAAAGTCTGTGAGCTGAACTGCCCAGATCCCACAGGCTGTTCATTGCTGAGATTACTCCCAAACCAGCTTAGGCCCCATTACTATTTTTTAGGGGGAATGTTGAACCTGTCAAGGATGAATTCCTCTAATGGCTGTGGCAAAGCCATTTGGTGTTTGGTTTACATGAAAGTCACAAGACACTGAGTGTTCTTTTTTTCTCCACTTGTGTTTTTCTCTGTTTGGTGCAACTACTTAGTATTGGAACACACAGCTCCTGAAAGGAGGAAGTGACTTAGAAGATGAGGGAAGTGGAAGGAATAGTTGAAACAACAAAAATACCTTTGTTATTCTTTTTCTTCCCTGAAGTAGTTTTCACTGTTACAGCTTCAGACGATTTTGTAATCTCGTTCATAGTTGAACTTCCTCTCTGTTTGGCTGGTTGGAAAAAAAAAGATTTTTTAAAAAGCAGCCTGTTTAAAGTCAAATGAATGGGTTTCTGACACACCTTGATGCTGGTTGTGGCCTTTATTTTATGTTCACTTTACCCAGAGATATTTCTCACCAGAGAGAATGATCTGACCTCTTGTCAAGATCACATTCACTTCAGTTCAGTCCCGTGGTTTTGTCTTTTTTGAGATGAAGTCTCACTCATCGCCCAGGCTGGAGTGCAATGGTGCCATCTCTGCTCACTGCAACCTCTGCCTTCCGGTTTCAAGTGATCTTCCCACCTCAGCCTCCCGAGTAGCTGGGATTACAGGTATGCACTACCTGACCTGGGTAAGTTTTTATATTTTTAGTAGAGACAGGCTTTCACCATGTTGGCCAGGCTGGTCTTAAACTCCTGACCTTAAGCGATCTGCCTGCCTTGGCCTCCCAAAGTGCCGGGATTACGGGTGTGAGCCACCACAGCCAGCTCGGTCCTGTGGCTTTTGTGTTTCTTTCCTTAAAGTCTCAGGATGAACATGCAACCAATTAGAGCCCAGGAACCATCCTGCCAGCCTTGTGTTACTTCTTTACATTCCAAAGCTGCCTTCTTTAAAAGTGACCCCAAAGCCCTGGAATTAGAAAGAATGTAGCAGGGAGGAACCCTTTGTTGGCATGTTTAAAGCTACATATTATAATGTATCACTCTGGAGTCATTCTAGACTCTTCCTTTCCCTTGTACCCTACATCCAATCCGTTAGGAAGCGGGATAATGCAGAGTCTGACTGCTTCTCACTGCCTTCCCTGCTAATGCCTTCATCTCACCTGGGTGGACAGCTCTCTCCTAGAGGACAATGGTCACCCGACAGGCCTCCCTGCCCACCCTCACCCTTTCCTGCCCACCCTCACCCTTTCCTGCCCACCCTCACCCTTTCCTGCCCACTCTCACCCTTTCCTGCCCACAAGAAGAAAAGGGAATAATGTAAAAATGGACATTATGCTTAGATTTCAATTCTACTTATTCTGCAAAATCTTATATTAAAAAGTATTTTAGGCTGAGCACAGTGGCTTAAGCCTGTAATCTCAGCACTTTGGGAGGCTGAGACGGGCGGATCACTTGAGGTCATGAGTTCAAGACCAGCCAGCCTAACATGGCAAAAGCCCGTCTCCACTAAAAAACATAAACATTAGCCAGGCACGATGGCACATGCCTATAATCCCAGCTACTTGGGAGGCTGAGGCTGGAGAATCACTTGAACCCGGGAGGTAGAGGTTGCAGTAAGCTGAGATTGCCCCACTGCACTCCAGCTTGGGTGAAAAATGAGACTCTGTCTCAAACAAACAAAGAAAAAAAAAACAAATAAAATTGTATTTATGCAGCATAACAAGTAATTAAGATTAAGAAAACAAACTTGTCACTGGGTCCTAAGGCATGTGGGCTCTTTGGTTGTCATCAGCTGAAAGCCACTGTGCCTGACTCTGACCAGAAGGAAGAGTTACCAGGAGGCCTGGGCGTAGCTCACAGAACAGGAGATCAAACATTCAGCCTCACAGAGCAGTGGTCGCAAACATTTTTGCTCTTATAACATCCTAGAGGAATATTAAAAAGTTTATGTACCATCTTGCACATTCTTAGGTTGGTATCTAAGTTTTTCATCATCACTTTTGAATTTTCAAAAGAGATTTTTGGAATATGGCAAATAGTAACATTTAAACATAAAATCTGTTATATTATTCCCTTTAGTGGATCAAATAGAATCTTTTTTTTTTTTTATTGGATTTTAGGTTTTGGGGTACATGAGCAGAGCATGCAAGACAGTTGCGTAGGTACACACATGGCAGTGTGCTTTGCTTTCCTTCTCCCCTTCACCCACATTTGGCATTTCTCCCCAGGCTAACCCTCCCCACCTCCCCCTCCCCCTGGCTCTCCCCCTTTCCCCCCAATAGACCCCAGTGTTTAGTACTCCCCTTTCTGTGTCCATGTGTTCTCATTTTTCATCACCCGCCTATGAGTGAGAATATGCGGTGTTTCATTTTCTGTTCTTGTGTCAGTTTGCTGAGGATGACGTTCTCCAGATTCATCCATGTCCCTACAAACGACACAAACTCATCATTTCTGATTGCTGCATAATATTCCATGGTGTATATGTGCCACATTTTTCCAATCCAGTCTATTATCAGTGGGCATTTGGGTTGATTCCAGGTCTTTGCTATTGTAAACAGTGCTGCAATGAACATTCGTGTACATGTGTCCTTATAGTAGAACGATTTATAGTCTTTTGGATATATACCCAGTAATGGGATTGCTGGGTCAAATGGAATTTCTATTTCTAAGGCCTTGAGGAATCGCCACACTGTCTTCCACAATGGTTGAACTAATTTACACTCCCAACAGTGTAAAAGTGTTCCTTTTTCTCCGCATCCTCTCCAGCATCTGTTGTCTCCAGATTTTTTAATGATCGCCATTCTAACTGGTGTGAGATGGTATCTCAATGTGGTTTTGATTCAAATAGAATCTTAATCAAACCATTTGATACTCACCCTCACCCACCAGAACACTGCAACAGCAGCAAATGTGAGCAAACTATTCTTTAGCAATTGACATTATTATTCCCTTTTCTTGTGTTTTACTTTTATTTCCATTCTATTTATTCTGTGAAATCTTGTATTAAAACATATTTTATAGCTAATCTTGTAATACTTCTCTGTAATAAAAATGCTACATGTACAAATACTCAAATTTAAAAATGTATTGGGATCAGGCTGGGTACAGTGGCTGATACCTGTAATCCCAGCACTTTGGGAAGCTGAGGTGGGTAGATTGCTGCAGTCCAGGAGTTCAAGACCAGCCCAGCCAGCATAGAGAAACCCCGTCTCTACTAAAAATATAAAAATTAGCCAGGCATGGTAGTGACCTGTGCCTCAGCTACTTGGGAGGCTGAGGTATGAGAATTGCTTGAATCTGGGAGGCAGAGGTTGCGGTGAGCAAAAATCGCACCACTGCACACCAGCCTGGGTGACAGAGTGAGACCCTGTCACAAAAAACCAAAAAAAATATTGGAATTATAAGGCTCTAAAGTACTAAAAGTTTCTTATCCAGTTATTCATCAACTTTTAGAAGTATGTAATTGATCCTAATTACATACAAAAATAAATTCTGAATGCATTGCTCTGTGAGATGGATGGTGCTGTTTTATTTACATTTTATTTTATTTTGAGATGGAGTCTCACTCTGTCACCCAGGCTGAGTGCAGTGGTGCAATCTTGTATCACTGCAACCTCTGCTTCCCGGGGTTCAAGCGATTTCTCGCACCTCAGCCTCCCAAGCAGCTGAGATTAAGGCGCACCACCACGTCCAGCTAGATTTTGTATTTTTAGTAGAGAGGGGGTTTCACCATGTTGGCCACGATGGTCTTGATCTCTTGAACTCGTGTTCTGCCCACCTTGGCCTCCCAAAGTGCTGGGATTACAGGTGTGAGCCACCACACCTGGCCTATTTGTTTTTATAATTAATTCATGTATCCATTGAATATTACTGCTAGCACGAGGCAGTTTAGCATCAATTCTATTTCCAGTTTTCATTGTTATAGTTGAAGTGCTGAGAAATCTTGTTCACAAGTGATGGGAATGGAATAGGGTTGTCAGATTTAGCCTCTCTTCCCCCATCTACTCCCAACCCCACTGCCCAATATGTGGCTCTCAGCTGAAGTTAAATGTCAGCTATGGAAAACCATTTACAGGGGAGTAAGCAGCTGTCATTCTGGTCTGTCCTGCATTTGTCCTCCCATCTGTCTACTCTTTGGGGGACTGCCAATTCCCCACTGCAAATCTGGTGGTGCTGGCAGGGCTGCTGGGCACAGTGCTCTACCCTCCAAGGATGGGTGTGGGATACATCCTGGCCAATCACAGTTCACTCTGACCTGAGATTGGGCCTAGAGGTAGGTATGTGACCCAAGGAGGGCCAATCAGAATCTCCCTATGGGATATGACACACAGTCATTGGAAGAAAGAAGACTTTACTTTCTGGTTGATGATAGTCATGATGATACAGCCCTGGGACTGTTGGCAGGCACATCAGCTGTCTTTTCCTGCTTGGAGAAAGCCTGGCTGCAGCCGGAGGAAGGAAGGCCAACCCTTGGAAGGGAAGTAGAGTCAAGAGCAGCAAATTCTGAGTCTCCTAGTGAGGTGGTTTGAGCCCCTGAATTCGGTCATCTCTGAAGACAGCTGTACCCATGGATGTCCCAGTTATGTGAGCCAATAAACCCATGCTCGTCTTTAATTCTGTTTGGGTTGCTTTCACTTTTAACCTAAAAAATCTGATTAACACACTAGTAGCTTTCTCTTGCAGCTGCTGCAAATGACCACAAACTTAGTGCCTTAAAACAATACAAGTTTCAGATCTTATAGTGCTGGAGGTCTGAACTCTGAAATAGGTCTTAAAGGTGAAAGTCAAGGTGTCAACAGAGCTGTATTCCTTTAAAGGCCCCGAGGAAAATTACTTTGCTTGCCTTTTCCACCTTGTAGTGGCTGCCTATGTTCCCTGGCTCCTGGCCCCTTCCTCACGTCACTCCAACCTCTGCTTCCATCTCCTCGGACTCTCCTGCCTCCCTCCTAGAAAGATCCCCGTGATTATGCAGGACCCATGAGGATGATCCAAGATGATCTTCGTATTTCATCCTTAACTTATGGTCAGAGTCGCTTTTGCCATGTGAGGTGATATATTCACAGGTTCTGAAGATTAGGGCAAAAATCTTTGGGAGACATTATTTTGTGTCCCACACATATTCAAGAAGAAGAATCAGACTTGACCACTGAGAAGGTCACTTTTAACCAGAGTACAAAATGTCTTCCTTTTAGGTGGCCCCAACAGGATTGTAGAGCCAAGTTCCCCAGCACTTACCTTGGAGCACTTACACCTCGCCCGGCCATAGCCCTAAATATGATTAGGAGTTGGAGGTCCACTGAGAACTGGACTGTGCAGATTCAGCAACTAGGAGCTCCTCAGATGGAAGCATCTGGATTGGAGTCAACACATGAGCCCAGCCCAAGTTCCCACAGTTTCCTGTGCAGAGGGCCCATAGCCGGGTCACTTCCTGTGGTAACAATGGATACCAATGACAGTTAAATACCCACCTAATGGAAGGAGAGTGTCTTTTAAAATGTAAATCATGAGAATGTCGTGAACAGGCCACCTTTTAGCAATTAGAGCACCACAACTTGAGTATCCCTTCGGTTCAGAATTTAAGCCTAGAAGAGGTTTTGGTGGAGTTTGGAGAATTCCAGGATTTTGAGGTAATGACATGGTCAGATATAGGATTCCAAATTATACTTCGGCAGAGATGAAAAAGGCTCTTGCAACCTTAACTACAGAGCTGGTGCCCAAGGCCTCTTTAATGAGAGGTGCCTGGTTTGAGTGCTGGATTGGATTCCGCAAGCATGTTTCGGACAGAGGAGCCAATGTGGCATGTCAGTGCCTATGTTAGCATCGGTCTGTGCTTAACAGGCTCTTGACTGGATCCTAGAGCTCCTACTCAGAGGTTTGCACCATCAGTCCTTTGGCACCAGTACTGCCACGGCAAGGACCATGCTATCCAAGATAGAATTCCTCTGCAGTCTCCAGATTAGCAAGAGGGCTACCTTTAAGGAGCGGCTAAGGATTTTTGTTTTGTTTTGTTTTTAGACAGTCTCACCCTGTTGTCCAGGCTGGAGAGCAATGGCGCAATCTCGGCTCACTGCAACCTCCGCCTCCTGGGTTCAAACAATTCTCCTGCTTCACCATGTTGGCCAGGCTGGTATTGAACTTCTGACCTCATGATCCACCTGCCTCAGCCTCCCAAAATGTTGGGATTACAGGCATGAGCCACCTTGCCCAGCCAAGAATCACTTTTAACTTGCATGGACAACATCTTATTTCCAGCTTGAGCACACTGGGTACCCTGACTGATGGTCTGAATAAAAGCAACTAAAATTGCAGGCTACATGTTTAAAAGAACTTTATGACTGTGGCAAAATGCACATAACATTTACCACCTTAGCCATTTTTAAGTATCCAGTTCAGTGGCATCAAGCATTCACATTGTTGTGCAATCCTAACCACCATCTGTCTCCAGAACTCTTTTCATCTTGTAAAATTGAAACTCTGCTTATTAAACAATAACTCCCTATTCTCCTCTTCTCGCAGACCCTGGTAACCACCATTCTATTTTCTCTCTATATAAATCTGATGACCCTAGCTCCATGGTGTAAGTGGAATTATATGATATTTGTCATTTTGTGACTGGCTTATTCACTTAGCACAATGTCCTCAAGATTCATCTCATGCTGCAGCAGCATGTATCGGAATTTCCTTCCTTTTTAAGGCTGAATATACCACATTCTGCTTATTCATTCAGCTGTTAATGGACACCTGGGTTGCTTCCACCTTTTGGCTATCATGAATAACGCTGCTGTCAGCATGGGTATAGAAATCTCTCTCTGAGATCCTGCTCTTAATTATTTGGGGTATATATTCACAAGTGATGTTGCTGAATTATATGGCGATTCTATTTTTATGTTTTTGAGGAACCGTCATACTGGTTTCCATACTGGCTGCACCATTTTGCATTGTCACCAACAGTGCACAAGGTTACAACTTTTCCACATCCTTGTCAACATTTGTTACTTTCTGCTTTTTTGATAGCAAGATTGGCATGTCATTGTGGTTTTGATTTGCATTTCCTTAGTGATTAGTGATGTTGAACATTTTTTCATGCATGTATTGGCCATTTGTATATCTTCTTTGATGAATGTCTAGTTAAATTCCTTGCCTGTTTTAAATCAGGTTGTGGCCAGGTGTGGTGGCTTATGCCTATAATCCTGGCACCTTGGGAGGCCAAGGTGGGTGGATTGCTAGAGGATAGGCGTTTGAGACCAGCCTGGCCAATATGGTAAAACCCTGTCTCTACTATAAAAACAAAACAAAAGAAACTAGCCAGACGTGGTGATGTGCACCTGTAGTCTCAGCTACTTGGGAGACTGATGCACGAGAATCACTTGAAACGGAGAGGCTGAGGTTGCAGTCAGGTGAGATTGATTGCACTACTGCACTCCAGCCTGGGTGACCCAGTGAGAAACCAAGAAAGAAAGAAAGAAAGAAAGGGAGGGAGGAAGGAAAGGAGGGAGGGAGGGAGGAAAGGAGGGAAGAAGGGAGGGAGGAAGGAGGGGAGGAAGGGAGGGAGTAGGGAAGGAAGGAGAGAAGGTAGGAAGGAAATCAGGTTGCTTGCTGTTTTGCTGTTGAGTTGTAGCAGTTGTTTTGTTTTGTTGACAGGGTTTCACTCTGTCACCCAGGCTGGAGTGCAGTGGTGTGATCCCAGCTCACTGCAGCCTCCACCTCCTGGGCTCAGGCAATCCTCCTGCCTCAGCCTCCAGAGCAGCTGGGACTACAGGTGCATGCCAGCATGCCAGGCTAATTCTTTGTAGAGATAGGGTTTCACCATGGTGCTAGGCTGGTCTCGAACTCTTAGACTCAAACAGTCTGCCTGACTCAGCCTCCGGAAGTGCTGGGATTACAGACATGAGCCACAATGCCCAGCCGAGTTGTAGCAATTTTAAAAAATATATTCTAGATGTTAACCCCTTATCAGATACACAACTTGCAATTATTTTCTCCCAATTCATAAGTTTGCCTCTTCACTTTGTTGATTACATCCTTTGGTGCATAGAAGTTTTACATTTTTATGTAGTCCAATTTATCTACTTTTTCTTTTTTTCTGCCTGTGCCTTTGGTGTCATTTCCAAGAAATAATTGCCAAATCCAAGGTCAAAAAGCTTTTCCTCTATGTTTTCTTCTAAGAATTAAAAAAAAAAAATCTCTTTTCAAAATGTGTCGACTGGCTGGCAGTTTAATGAGGAATACCCAAAGGTCAATGAATGAGAGAAAGTGGGAGCCCAGTGGGATATGCAGAGCACTGACGCCAGCTTTTCCTTTGGGAGCATCATTCAAACTGTAGTTGGTTTTCATGGATCATGGAGCCCAGGGAATAGGAGATAGAGTCATAGCCACTGGAGACAAGGAGTCACGTAGAAAATGCTGCGTGAAGTTACATCCCAAAGTACAAAGTGGGCCAATAGTTTTATTCTCTTAGAGTAAGGATAGCTAGAATAAAAACCCAATTCTCCCTTTTCCCAAAGGACCCTGGGGAAAACTGCCTATCTCAGAGAATAAAAACCCAATTCTCCCTTTTCCCAAAGGACCCTGGGGAAAACTGCCTATCTCAGACTGATAAATATAAGGAAAAATGTGTCCCCTGAGAACTCACAGACTAGCTTGAATACAGTTTTGTACCCTGCATTAATTAACCATCTGGATGGTTCAAAGAAATCGCAAGTCAAGAATTTAATTGAATGTAAGCCTGGGATGGTAGCACCCAGAGTGAATGGCGGACACAAATTCAAGCCCTGAAGAGGAAGCTCTCTTCAAACTTGAGCTCCAGAAATTGCCACAACCATTTTCCTTGGAAATATGAGTAAACAGTAAAAAAGAAATCACCAAACACACAAATTGGTGTCACCATGAGTAAAAGCCAGTAGAAGCAAGAGATCACAATATCAGACCCACAAATAATTCAGATTATTGAAACTATTAGGCAGAATAGAAAATGACTTGAACACATTCAAAGAAATAAAATAAGGGATTTTAAAAAAAAGAGACTAGAAAATGACCGCTAGTTTCCTTACCTATTCTCTACTTCCTCCTTCTTTCCTAAACATAATTTTGTGATAAACAAACATTAGAGTTGTAACTGTTTTTTGAACTTTACATAAATTCAAGCATACAGTATTCATTCTTTTTTTTGTTTTGTTTTGTTTTTGAGACAGAGACTTGCTCTGTCAGCAGGCTGGAGTGCAGTGGCGTGATCTCAGCTCACTTCAGCCTCTGCCTCCCAGGTTCAAGTGATTCCCCTGCCTCAGCCTCCAAAGTAGCCAGGACTACAGGCATACGCCACCATGCCTGGCTAATTTTTTGGACTTTTTAGTAGAGATGGGGTTTCATCATGTTGGCCAGGATGGTCTTGATCTCCAGACCTCATGATCCACCTGCCTCGGCCTCCCAAAGTGCTGGGATTATAGGCATGAGCCACTGCGCCCGGCCAGTATTCGTTCTTTTGTGCCTCCCTTCATTTGTACAACATTATGCTTGTGAGAGTCATCGTATTTTATTTTTGTATAGCCACAGTTAGTTCATTTTCATTGCCACATAGCATTCCACTATATTAATATACTACAATTTCTTCATTTATTCTATTGTTGATGGAAATTTGGGTTATTTCCAGTTATTGATTTCCATGAACATTTTTGTGTAAGTCTCCCGGTGCCCATGTACATACATTCATACTGGATATTTACCTAGAGTGGAACTGCTGGGTCACAGACTCTGGAATCAGTAGATACTGCAGTACAGTTTTCCAAGTGACTGTGAATATACACTCCCACCACAGTGTATGAAAATTCCAGTTGCTCCAATTCCTCACCAATGCTTGATGATGTACTTTTATTTTCACGATTTCAGTGGCTGTGTAGTAGTATCCCTTCATGTTTTTAATTTGAATTCCATTCATTCCTAACGAGGTGGAGCACCTCTTAATATTTTTATTGGCTATTTGATAGTTTTTTTGGTAAGTGCCTATTCAAGTTTCTTTTTTTTTTTTTTTGAGATGGAGTTTCACTTTTGTGACCCAGGCTGGAGTGCAATGGCACTATCTCGGCTCACTGCAACCTCCGCCTCCTGGGTTCAGGCAATTCTCCTCCCTCAGCCTCCCGAGTAGCTGGGATTACAGGCACGCGCCACCATGCCCAGCTAATTTTTTTATCTTTAGTAGAGACGGGGGTCTCACCATGTTGACCAAGATGGTCTCGATCTCTTGACCTCATGATCCACCCGCCTCGGCCTCCCAAAGTGCTGGGATTACAGGCGTGAGCCAACGCGCCCGGCCTCAAGTTTCTTGACCATATTTCTATTGGATAATTTGTTTTTCTTAGTGAGGTATGGGAGTTATATATATATCCTGCCTAAGAATCCTTTTTGATTATATGCATAGCAAATATCTTTTCCAGTTCTGTGGCTTGCTTTTTCACTCTCTTAATGGTAATTCTTGATGAACAAAAGTTGTTAGTTTTAATGGAGTCTAACTTAATTGATGTTTTCTTTTATGATTAGTGCTTTTTGTATACTTCTAAAAAAGTACTTTTCCACTCCAAAGTCATGATGATGTTTTCTTATATTATCTTCTAGAAACTTTATTGCTTTGCCTTTCAACCCTGCAAACCACCAGCATTGATTTCGGGGTATGATGTGAAGTAGGGATCAAGCTTCTTTATACCCCATGCTTATCCCCAGTGGTCTTGTCATCATTGATTGAAAAGGCCATCTTTTCCTCGACGCCATGCATTGTCATCTTTGTCAATAATTAAATGTCCATAAAGGTAAGACTGTTTCCAGGCTTTCTATTCTTTTCCATTGGTATACTTATCTATGCTTGCCGCAATGTTACACGACCTTAATTTCTGTAGCTCTATAAGAAGTGTTAATATCTGTTAGAGAAAATTCTCCTGCTCTGTTCTTTGTGTTCAAGATTGTCCTGCTTATTTTTTGCCGCTTATATCTCCATATAAAATCAACAGTCAAAAGCCTGTAATCCCAGCACTTTGGGAGGCCGAGGCGGGCGGATCATGAGGTCAAGAGATCGAGACCATCCTGGCCAACATGGTGAAACCCCGTCTCTACTAAAAATACAAAAAATTAGCTGGGTGTGGTGGCACGTGCCTGTAGTCCTAGCTACTCGGAAGGCTAAGGCAGGAGAATTGCTTGAATCCAGGAGGCGGAGGTTGCAGTGAGCCGAGACTGTGCCACTGCACTCTAGCCTGGTGCCTGGCGACAGAGTGAGACTCTGTCTCAAAAAAAAAAAAAAAAAAAAAAAATTAACAGTCAGGTCTTTTAAGTTATATAAGAAAGCCATTTTCATGGCTCTTTGATTCTTCCCACACCTTCAACATTCCATCTGGGATCGTTTTTCTTTAAAGAATGTGCATTAGTATTTCTTTTAGGGAAGATCTGCTTGCGACAAATTCTTCCAGTTTCTGTTGTTCTGACAATGTCTTTGCTTCACTTCCATTTTTGAAAAATATTTTTGTTGGGTATAGAATTCTTAGTTGGCATTTTCCCTTTAGGATTTTGAAGATATTCTATTGGTTACTAACTTCCATTGTCAGATACGAGTGTGTTATTTATTGACTAATTTTAATATTTTCTTTGTCTTTGGTCTTTAATAGTGCTATTATGATGTTTCTAAATTTTCTTTGTGTTTAACCTTCTTGGATTAACAACTCTATTTGAATCTGTGTTTTATGTCTTTCATCAGTTTAAGTTCTTAGCTATTATCTTTTCAAGTATTGCTTTTGTCTCATTCTCATTCTCTTCTCCTTCTGGGACTTCAATTACACATGTGTTGATTATCTCACTTATCTACTAAGTCTCTCTCTTTTTTTTTTGAGACAGGGCCTTGCTTTGTTGTCCAGGTTGCAGTACAATGATGTGGTCATGGCTCACTGTAGCCTCTACCTCCCAGGCTGAAGCGATCCTCCTGTCTCAGCTTCCTGAGTAGCTGGGACTACAGGCATGTGCCATCACATCTGGTTCATTAATTTTTTTTTTAAGAGACGAGGTCCTGCTATGTTGCTCAAGCTGGTCTCAAACTCGTGGGCTCAAGTGTTACTCCCACCTTGGCCTCCCAAAGTGCTGGGATTACAGGCACAAGCCACAGCAACCAGCCTATCTACTTATGTCTCTTACCTTTTCTTTTGACCTTTCTTTCTTTTCATGCTTCATTCTTTCTGGATATTTTCTTATTATCTGTCCTCATTTTACTAATTATCTCTCTAAATCTATCAAAAATGTTGTTAAACCCATTTATTAAGATTTTAGGACTGGGTGCAGTGGCTCATGCCTGTAATCCCAGCACTTTGGGAGGCTGAGGTGGGTGGATCATCTGAGGTCAGGAGTTCAAGACCAGTCTGGCCAAAATGGTGAAACCCTGTTTGTACTAAAAATACAAAAATTAGGCAGGTGTGGAGGCACATGCCTGTGGTCTCAGCTACTGGGGAGGCTGAGGCAGGAGAATTGCTTAAACCTGGAAGATGGAGGCTGCAATGAGCTGAGATCATGCCACTGCACTCCAGCCTGGGCAAGAGAGTGAGACTCTGTCTCAAAAAAAAAAAAAAGTTAATCTATAATTGTATATCCAGCAAAACTGTCTTTCAAGAATGAAGGTTATGTGTGATATCATGGCAGTCAAACTTTATAAACGTGGAGAAATCTTGACAATATAATGTGAGTAAAAGAGACACAAAATCATACAGAGTATAATTCCATTTTGCAAATAAACACATGCATGTATATATAATAATATTTTTGTCAGTATCCGCAAATGTTATGCCTTTAAAAATAGTATATTACAATTGGATCATGGTCAGTTCTAATATTTTCTCCATATTTATGTTTGAAATATTTAACTTAATATTAACTTAAAATAGTGTTGGTTTTGTCTTGGTTTTAGAGAAAACCTTGTAGTGTATCAATCAGTAATCACATGAACTACAGCTGGAACACATGATATAATATGCTTATATTAAGGTTTGAAGAAATATTTTTTAAAACCATAACTCACAAGTCTGGCAATCTCTGAGTCGCTCAGTTGAAGGCCACAGATGCAGATCTCTTTCTCCAGTGTGTAACACTCATCTTGAATTGTGAGCAAAGGTTCCAGGGAAACTGGTGGGATTCTTGGTGGGGAGTCATCAGGTCTTACAAGCATAAACTGGAGTGTAAGAAAAAACGGCATGACAGTGGATGTCATGAGGAGAAGTCTATGCATCTGAATAGTGGAAAAGGAATACTGTTATTACACAACAACATCAGAAGAACATTTAAAATAGTATTGACTTTGAGCTGGGGACAGTGGCTCAAGCCTGTAATCCCAGCATTTTGGGAGACTGAGATGGGCAGATCACCTGAGGTTAAGAGTTCAAGACCAGCCTGACCAACATAGTAAAACTCCATCTCTACTAAAAATACAAAAATTAGCCTGGCATGGTGGTGCATGCCTGTAGTCTTCCTACTCAGGAGGCTGAGGCAGGAGAATTGCTTGATCCAGGGAGGAGGAGGTTGTAGTGAGCTGAGACATGCAAATGCACTCCAGCCTGGGTGACAGAGCAAGACTCTATCTCAAAAAAAAAAAAAAAAGTATTAATTTGGATCAAGTGTGCAAGACAAACTTATAAAGTTCCAGCCACGTACAAAGCTCCATGAAAAGTCCTATAGGGCAGAGATTTTTCCAGCAGGTTACCCAGTGTTATTGGATCAGAAAATCAATCTAGTCAGTTACAGTCCTCCCTCCCTTCCTCTCTTCCTTCTGAGTCTCACTCTGTCACCCAGGCTGGAGTACAGTGGGGTGATCACAGCTCACTGCAGCCTCAAACTGCCAGGCTCAAGAAATCTTCCTACCTCAACCTCTCAAGTAGCTGGGACTACAGGTGGGTGACATTGCACTTGGATAACTCTTTAATTTTTTGTAGAGGTGTTTCTCACCATGTTGGTCAGGCTGGTCTCAAACTCCTGACCTCAAGCAACCCTCCCAACTCAGCCTCCCAAAGTTCTGGGGTTATAGGTGCAAGCCACCATAACCAGCCTCTTTTTTCTTCTTTAACGAAGTAGAAAAGAAGGGAAATTTTTCGAGTATCTCTTATTAAGGATAATGATTATCTCATGAGACTTTTAATGATTTTCAAAATCATGATGGAGACCCCACCCAAGCAACCCACCCAACATAAAAACAGCCCTTATGGTGGTACTGATGCATGCCGATACCATATGTGGGGTCATGATGTTAATTGCATTTCTGATGGTGATTGCAATAAAAAAATAATTGAATATTGCTGAAGGGACTGGTTTGAACAAGTTATGATTAGCCCTTATAATTAAGTAGTAGAAGCTGATTATAAGAACTGTAGATTTAAAAACATGACTTAGGAACAATTTTACCACAAAAGGGCTGGTTCTGGGAAGGTCTTCCATTGGGATGAGCAGGGAGACATGGCAGGGACCCCAGCAAAGGCACTGTGACAGGAAGGATCAGAGAGACATTGGAGGCAGATGAAGGAGGGCAGAGTGTAGGCAGTGCTAGGTAGAAGGAGGCTTGGAAGAAGGAAAGGAGAGAGGGAGCAGCAGCTGGGGAGTTGGAAGTTCAGAGTACAGAGGGAGAGTCGGGGTCTGGCCCAGTTGTCTTTGGGGTGCCAGCCTCCCCCTTCTGGTCTGTCAGGTGTCCGTTTCCCAAGTTACCCATTTCATCTTGGTGCTGACCTCTCTCCTCTCCTCTTTCCCCCTCACATCCAAGTCCTAGATTTAATCTCAGAAAAGATCTGACATGAGAATATTTTCTGAAACCCGGTGCTTTTGGAGTCAGAATTCTGACTGCTGGTCTCACTCCAAGTGAGCCAGCTCAGGAGGGGAGGCGCGGGCAAGTGCAGTTCTGGCCTCATGGTAGGGACGCGTCAGCAGCCAAGAGAAGGAGGCCCTCACTTGGAGGGGTCAGCGGGGGTGGCTGGAGTCCCCGGGAACAGAGGTCCTGCAGGGATGACTGAAGTGCTGACTTTTAAGCTGGGCCTTCCAGATGTGGAGGAGGGGCTGGTGGCCTTTCCAGGGAAGTGGTGTGAGATCAGGCCCTTTGGAAGGGATGGGAGGGGCAGCTGTGGAGGTCAAAGTGGGAAGGGAGGAGAAGGGCGGAATAGGCCCTCGGTGGCAAGCCAGGCTTTGTACTCCCCTCAGTCAGTAATGCAGAGCGGGTGACACAGCCAGCTCTGGGCTTGCAAGTCAAACTACCTTTGCAAAGAAAGGAAAGAAATCTGACTTAACCAACTCCTTTTTGCTTTTAACCTTCAAACTGTCCTTGCTCATTCCTGGGCACAGGCCAAATGAACTTGGGGAGGAACTTAGTTTATATTAATAGATTAACTTTGAAATAAAGATAATAACAAACTTTTCCCAAAACAAATCCCTTTCTTGGCTGGGGACTACACTGTCTTTGCAGGAAAATTAGCCACAAGATTAGAAATGATGGTTTAGGAGTCACTGTGGTAAAACCTGAGATCGGTGCTTGAGATAGTTTGCAGACCTTTTGTTCCAAAGCACCAGCTGGCCCACTCAGATGGATAAGCTGGCTCATCTGGTCTTGTGGACCCTACCCAGGAACTGACTCAGTGCAGGAAGACATCTTCAATTCCCTATGATTTCATCTTCAACCCGACAAATCCGCATTCTCTACTTTGTGACCCCCCTACTCACCAAATTGCCCTTAAAAACCTCAATCTCGAATTTTTGGAGAGACTGATTTGAGTAATAACTTGTCTTTTGCATGGTGTATCTTGCCTGGTGTCAATCAAATGCTTTTTTTTTTTTTTTTTTTTTTGAGACAAAGTTTTGTTCCATGGCCCAAGCTGGAGTGCAGTACCATGATCTTGGCTCACTGCAACCTCTGCCTCCCAGGTTCAAGCAATTCTCCTGCCTCAGACTCCAGAGTAACTAGGATTGCAGGCACCTGTCATCACACCCAGGTAATTTTTTTTTGTATTTTTAGTAGAGAAGGGATTTCACCATGTTGGCCAGGCTGGTCTCAAACTCCTGATCTTGTGATCCACCTGCCTCAGCCTCCCAAAATGTTGGGATTACAGGCGTGAGCCACCGCGCCCAGCCCTCACTCTTTTTTTTTTTGAGATGGAGTTTCGCTCTTAGTACCCAGGCTGGAGTGCAATGGCATAATCTTGGCTCACCGCAACCTCCGCCTCCTGGGTTCAGGCAATTCTCCTGCCTCAGCTTCCTGAGTAGCTGGGATTACAGGCACGCGCCACCATGCCCAGCTAATTTTTTGTATTTTTAGTAGAGACTGGGTTTTGCCATGTTGACCAGGATGGTCTCGATCTCTTGACCTCGTAATCCACCCGCTTCGGCCTCCCAAAGTGCTGGGATTACAGGCGTGAGCCACTACGCCCGGCCCAAACTCTTTCTTTACTACAACGCTGTGGTATTATTTGTGCGGCAGGCAGAAAGAACCCCTTGGAAGGTGACACAAGGACTGAGGACCCATGTGCCTTGGGAGTAAACCCCAGCCAGTTCATTTCAGAGAAGAATAAAAAAAGAAGACCATACACTCACCTTCCTGAGCACCTGGTCACTGTCAATGCTGCTTTTCAGGTCCCTTTTGACAGCTGGACACATGGATGGCTGAGACTGCACACAGTGCTTCTCATACGTTTTCAGAAACTTGAAGAATCAAAACGATGGGCAGGGTGCCCCTTCAGATCTTTGCTTTCCTTCGTTTGCTCTTGGCATTGTTTTATAGTGTTAGATTTCACTTGGATTCTGAAAACAGTAACTTGCCCTGAAACTGAATATGCAGGTGTCTCTTTAAGGAGCAGAACATACTTCTTCCACTGAAAACACCAGGACAAATATTGCTGCATATCCTGCTTTGAGAATCTTGAAGCGCTTCATTTATCTTAAAATGGGACTAAGGAGTCAAAATGGCGACCACTGAAAGGAACTGTTCTATTTCCCTATTCATGGGTCTATGTCCTTCTTTTAGACTCTTCAAAATTGAGGCAGTACCCACTGGAACTCAGTTACAATGGAATGCAATTAACACTAATACTGGTTACTAAAAATTACCAAGAACATACTGACTTTTAAATGGCATAGTTCCCTTTACAGACACAATTCTTGCCAGATAGTCATATATCACAGTGGTTAAGAACGTGGACTTTGGAGTTGAGTGGTCTGGACTTTAGTGTTTTCTCTATCTCTTGACCCCCTGGGTAGCCTTAGATAAATTATGAAGCCTCTTCAAGTGACCATTTTTCCATCTGTAAAATGGATTATGGGCCAGAGTGATGTTTTTGAAATGTAAATCAGGTCATATGACTCTTCTGCTTAAAACTCTTCAATGGCCTCCCACTACATTTATCTTTATTGAATTTATTATATGCTTATTTCACCAGTTATTAAGAGGTATGTAAATGTGAATTTGTCTATCTCTGCTACTAATTCTTCCAACTTTTGTTTTATATATTTTGAAGCAGTGTTATTAGGTGCCTCTACATTCAGAACTGATAAATCTTCCTGGGGAATCTACTGTTTTGTTATTATTTAATATTTCTGTTTATCTCTAGTAATGCTTTTGCTTTCAAGCCACAGTTCCCAAACTGCACTGAGGTGCTTCGGGGCACTGCCACGGATTTACAGGGCACTATAAGATAATTTAAAATTTCAAGAGAAAGCCAGCAACATCGGATAGATGCCATGTGAATTATTAGCTGGAAGTATTTTACAATTTTTCTTTTTCTTTTTTTTTGTACTTTAGGTTCTGGGTACATGTGCTGATCATGCAGGATTGTTGCATAGGTACATACATGGCAAGGTGGTTTGCTGCCTTCCTCCTCTCATCACCTGTATCTGGTATTTCTCCCCTTGTTATCCCTCCCCACCCTCCCCACCCCCCACTGTCCCTCCCTTAGCCCTCCCAACTGACTGCAGTATGTGATGCTCCCCTCCCTGTGTCCACGTGTTCTAATTATTCAACACACGCCTATGAGTGATAATATGCAGTGTTTGGTTTTACAATTTCAAATTAGATCACAGTTGTATTAGTATCATATTTTTACATAGCAAATAAGCCCATCATGGGTGAAAAGCATTCTAGAAAGGGGAATGAACCAGTAAAATGCAGAGACATTCAGATACTAGGGTAAGGGAAATCACAGTATCATAGTTCTGGTTGGGACTTTACACATTATCTAACTCAGAACACTGGGTGCTAAAACCAGAAAATCATGAGGCAAACCAGGATCACTGTTAACTCTAGCAGTCCTCTTTCAGTCACGGCCATCACCCCTGTGTCCCCTCACAAGGCTGTGCTCCAGGCTGCTGCTGCAGAGCAACCGGACTTGGCAGCTATAGAAAACCGTTTCTTGGGCGAGTTCAATCTTTTTTTTTTTTTTTTCTGTAGAGGCAGGATCTCACTCTGTTGCCCAGGCTAGAATGCAGAGGTACAATCACAGCTCACTGTAACCTTGATCTTCTGGGATCAAGGAAGGAAAAGAAGGGACTTACTTCAGCTGAAAACAGAACTGGGTCTCCTGACTCCCAGTACTGTTTCAGGCACAAAGATATGGGCCATAAGAGCACGCAGAGAATGGCCAGGCTCGGTGACTCACGCCTGTAATTCCAGCACTTTGAAAGCCCCAGGAGAGCGGATCACGAGGTCAGGAGTTGGAGACCAGCCTGGCCAACATGATGAAACCCAGTCTCTACTAAAAATACAAAAAATTAACTGGGCGTGGTGGCACGCATCTGTAATCCCAGCTATTTGGGAGCCTGACGCAGGATAATTGCTTGAACATGGGAGGCAGAGGGTGCAGTAAGCCAAGATCACACCACTGGACTCCAGCCTGGGCACCAGAGCAAGACTGTCTAAAAAAAACAAAAAACAAAAAAAACAAACAAAAAACCAGCACTCAAAGAAATGGTGACACCCCTTCCCCGCAGGCCAAGAGGAGTGGCCTCAGAATGAAACCCACCTCCTGAAATGGCACCCTGATCTTAGACTTCCAGCTGCCAGAACTGTGAGAAAATTCTGTGGTTTGAACCACCCAGTCTATGATATTTCATCATGGTAGCCCAAGCTGAGACAGGTAGTATATACAGTATACTGCTCACATTATGGATTATTCCTCACCAACATTTAAAGTATTTGCAGATGCACGAACTACTCACATAGATTCTGCAAATGCTCTAAGAGGACACTTTTGAGTCTTGAGTTTTTCACTTAATGTTTTATCACATTTATCAAAGTCAGTATTGATTGAATCACTAATGAATAGTTATGGAAGGTCGAAGGTGTATGTGTCCCGCCCTATCTAGGTTTTACTTCTCTCTTCTGAAAGTGCCTCTCCCTCCCCAGTGTCCTGGAGATGGAATAGTGTGGGTGCCAGAGGAGAGGCTGAGAGTGGGGGCGGCTGGACCCTGCCCTCTGTCCCGAGGGGGATGCAGAGGGCCCTGCTCTGGGACCTTGCCCCCGCAGCTTGGACAGCTCCTGGTCCCACCTCTGAGTCCCAGGGGACACGGAGAGGGCCCGTAAGGAGGAGCGACTTCGCGCTCCCTCTCCGAGGCTCGCGTGCATTTAAGACGTTTCGCTCAAGAATCCCAGCTGCCCACCCCGAGGCCAGGAAAAGACCAGCTGCGTGTACTGTCCCTGCCCCCGCCCTGCGGCTGCGCGGGTGGGTAGGGGAGGTGCGCCTCCGGAGACAGTGGGGAGGTGCGTACACCAAGGTCTCCGTGGAGCCCCGCTCCCGGGATCGATCGAGCATTTCTCCCCGGGTCTCACAGTTCACGAGGCTGGGCAACCTCCTCCGGCCCCTGCCCGCCCGCCGGGCGCCCGCACTCACTCGCGCTCACTCTCCGCATCCCGAGCCCGCTGCCCGCCTGGCGTCCAGCGCCCTGGAGACGGCGTCGAGGGGCGGAGGCTGGGGCCGTGGTCACTCAGGGCGCGAGCTGGAGGAGAAGGCAGGTGGCGGGAAGCAGTGCCAGGGCCCATCAGAGCTCGGGCTCGGGCTTGGATTTGGAGAAATTGAGAAATCCTGGTGTCCTCGCTGCAGGTCAAGCTTGCCGCAGCTAACATCGCTGAGAGGGACGCGGCCTAGCAGGGAACAGGGGAAGTGGGGGAAGGCGGACCGGCCTCCCCGTTCATCAGTGGGGGATCTAGGGGAGACAGAGGCCCCCGAAGCTCGGGCACTCCAGCCTGTTGCCGCCATGCCCAAGGCCACCTTAGACCAGCCCTGGTGCCCCTGACACGATTTCCCAGGGAGCCCTCCACCTCCTCCCCTCTACCACAAGCCCTCTCCTTTCCGCTAGATGGGCTTCATGAAGCGATTGCTTCCCGGTCCCAATCCCAGGAGAAAGGGGGCGCAGGGAAAAAGGCAGAGGCTCAGGGACCAGGCCTGTAATGGAGTTTTTCTGGGGAATGTTGAGGAGAAAGATGCAAAACAGCTGAAGCTTTCAGGACTGGATGGAGAGGAAAAAGATTTTAAGAAGCTTTGCTGGCCTGTCGCGGTGGTTCACACTTGTAATCCCAGCACTTTGGGAGGCCGAGGTGGGCCGGTCGCGAGGTCAGGAGTTCGAGACCAGTCTGGCCAACATAGTGAAACCCTGGCTCCACTAAAAATACAAAATTAGCTAGGCGTGGTGGTGAGCACCTGAATTCCCAGCTACTGGGAAAGCTGAGGTGGCAGAATCATTTGAACCTGTGAGGTAGAGATTGTAGTGAAATGAGATTGCACCAGGGCACTCCAGCCTGGTGACAGAGCAAGACTCCTTCTCAAAACACAACAAAAAACCTTGCTGCACGCAGTAGTTTTGGGGTGTAGAAATGAAGGATTGGGAGGATGTAGTAGGCAGAATAGAGTCTCCCAAAGATATGTGTGCCCTAATCCTGGGAACTTGTGGATGTATTACCTTACCCGACAGAAGAGAGTTTGCAGAGGATTCTAGTTACAGACCACGACACGGGGTGCAGGTTGGGAGAACAGCCTTGATTATGCAGGTGGGCCCAATGGAATCACAGAAGTCTGAGAACGTGACATTGAGAACCTTTTAGATTGGGTCAGAGAGAGATGCAAGGAGAAGGATTCTGCCTGCTGTTGCAGCCTTTAGTCGGGGAGGTAAGAAGACTTAGGCCAAGGAAGGTGGGAGGCCTCTAGAAGCTGGAAAAGTAGAGAAAGCGTTCTCCCCAAAGCCTCTCTAAGGAAGCACAGCCCTGCTGACTCCTTGATTTCAGTCCAGTGAGAGCTGCGTGGGACTTCTGCCCTCCACATCTGGCACATACGTTATCTATATCTATCTTAGGATATAAAATAGGTGCTAAATGAATATTTGTTTAATGAAAAAAAGTGAATTAAAAATACAGTTGGATTAAACAAATTCACAGTGAATTGCAAATGGAAAGTAACCCCTTCATTCCTGTAGGGCTGGCTATAGTTTTCTAAGTGTGTGTTTTAAACCCAGCTGGCTCTATTGTGAGGAAGTCTGGGCTCACAGTGAAGTGAGGGGGGTCAAGGAAGACAAGAAGGGATTCTGAATTTGGTCCAACATGACTTCCGGTGGGTCTACCCTCAGGAGTCTGTGCCCCTCTGTTATTTTTGCCTCTTCTTTTCTTCTCTCTGCTGGAACTTATAGCTTCTCAAAGGGTCCTATTTTGTGCATGGCTATTTCAGCCTTCCTAAGACAAAAAGCAGAGAAGGGCAGTGAGGGAGGAGGGTTCCAGAGTGGGCAAGAGGGCACCTGGAGGGCACCCACTGGGACTCAGGGCAGATGCTTAGGGAGCAGAGATATAGTCAGGAAGGCCAGAGCTCAAGGACAGGGGCAGTGAGGGGCAGAAGCTAGACAGCCCAACAGAGCTGAGCTGAGGGGTCCTTCGTATGCACTGTGGACAGGTTCTTAAAGGAACTGTGTCACTAGGATTTGGTTCAGCTGCTAGTGACAGAAACCCAGTTTCACAGTTGAAGCAATACAGAAGGTCACCTCCTTTTCATGTAAGTGAAATTCAGGCGTGAGCAGCCCAGAGCTGCTGCAGAAGCTCCGGGGTTATAAAGAACCCAAGCAACTTTTACTTTATTACTCTTCCACCCTTGGCGTGTGACTTCTACCTCACGGCCCAGAATGGCTGCCGAACTCCAGCCATTTTGTCCCAAATTCGGGAAAGGAAACTGGACAAAGAAGGGCCATTCTCTTCCTTTAAGGATATCTTCCAGAAACTGCACATGACACTTGTGCTTACATACCACTAGATTAGGGATATGACCATTCACGATCATACCTAGCTGCAGAGGAGGCTGGGAAATGTAGTCTTTATTATAGGCAGCCATGTGCCCACCTGAAAATGGGAGCTTCTGTTACTTACAGAAGAAGGGAAAGACAGATATGGGGAGATAACTAGCACCTGAGCCACAGTAGCTGGTAGCTGCCAGGGCCACAGTGATGGTGGGTGCAGTGGTGAGATAGTTGCCAGTTTATCAGTATTGACACAGAATTTTTCTTGGCCACTTTGCCAACTGGGACCTCCTTAGCCAGTGATGCCCCCACCTGCCTCCCAGGTCTCACTTGATCTCCAGCCTGCTGCTGGAGGCACCCTGCCCACTTAGCCCACCTGTGTTATAGCTTGTACCCATGTTCAGTGTTTTCCAAGCTCTTGTCCCACATCCAAAAAGAATGAGGATACACTGACAATTCGAAGGTGAGGAGGGTGGAGAAGAATTGTATTGAGTGACAGAACAGCTCTCAGCAGAGAAGGGATGCGGGAGTGGTGCCTCATACCAGCAGTTGAGTGCATTTCCCTCCCAGTATGGCTGGGTCAGGGCTTTTACGGACTCAGAATGGCACAAGTGTGCAGATTGGTTTGTGAATACACACACACACAAAAGGTTAAAGTGAAGACATCAATCGAAGGTGGACACAACAGTGTCGAAAACCCTTAGGGAAGTGTAGGTATATGTAAATTAGGTGAAATGTGGGGATCGATCAGAGGAAAGCACGCCAAATGGAAAGACAGGTTCTCAGTCTGGTCCACGGATTTGATGTGTAGCCTGGCTTTCAGGCTCTACATTGTCTGGCTTGGGGTGGAGTTTCCCTGGGAACCCACCCGTCTGCCTAGGCATTTTGCTAACTCCTGTCACTATTGGTACGATATGACTTTCTCACACATTGAGCATTTGTATATCAGGGGCAGCCTGGGACTCATATAATGGTTGTAATTTTGGATGTGACTCACCAGGGCTGAATTACTCAAGAGGCTAACTCAGCGTGTGTGCAGGGCTCCAGCAAAGCTAGGGAACGAAACAATAGCAACGAGGAGGAAAGAACTAGCTATTTCACATTGCAAGCGAACAAACACACAAGCAAAAAGCTTGCAAAATAGTTTTGGGAAAAATCAGAACTTTATTGGGCTTCATTATTTAGATTTGACAGTGCAGTGCTGTTTTGGTTTTTGATTTACATAGATGAGGCATGTGCCACAATCTCTTTGGTTCTTAAAAGCATGATCAGGTACTCAGAATCAATATCAGCCTACCCCACTGGGTACATTTGCTCCCTGCTAATCCAACACTGGAACTCTTAAAAGGTCTTTGAGATGAATTTTGCTTTTGGTGGAGAGGGGCTGTTGTACTATTAAATACAGAGGAGATGATATGCCAGAGGGAAGAAATCCTGAGAGGAGAAAGAGAAAGAGAGAAAATGAGAATAGGAGGGAGAAGAGGCAAAGGAGGAAGGAAGGTGGGGTCAAAGGGACAGACCAGTTCAGGGGTGGCCCACTCCTGATGTGGAGTTTTTATTTTTATTTATTTTATTTCATTTTTTCGAGACAGAGTCTCACGCTGTCACCCAGGCTAATGTGCAATGGCGTGATCTCTGCTTACTGCAACCTCTGACTCCCGTGTTCACACAATTCTCCTGCCTCAGCCTCCTGAGTAGCTGGGATTACAGGCGCGCACCACCATACCCAGTGAATTATTTCTGTATTTTTAGTAGAGATGGGGTTTCACTATGTTGGCTGGATTGGTCTCAAACTTCTGACCTCATGATCCATCCTCCTTGGCCTCCCAAAGTGCTGGGATTACAGATGTGAGCCACCACGCCCCACCTTTTTTTTGGTAAGGGGGAGTTTAAAATGTATCCACAAATATATCCATTCCTCCCTTCAAAAGATGGATCTTCATTCTGCTTCCCTTGGCTGTGGGCTGAGCTTAGTGACTGGCTTCCTGTGAACAAAGCATGGTGGAAGTGATAGTGTGTGACGAGGTCAGAAAGGTATTGCGACATTGAGGAAAGAGGCTTTCCAGAAGGCTCTTTACAAGGAGGCAGACCCAGGTGGCTTGACCCTTCTGTCTTTTGTTCCCCCATTTCTTCTTGCTTGGAATACAGTCGTGGTGCTGAAGACCAAGCTGCCGTTCTGTAATCACTCGACGTCAAACACACCCGGGATGGCTGAGCAGGTGATGGAAGGAGTCGGGGTGTGTAGCATCATGGAGCCCCTGAACCAGTCTAAGTTGCCCTCTTCTGTATTTTCATTGTTTTTCAGACAGGGTCTCACTCTGTCACGCAGGCTGGAATGCAGTGTCATGATCATAGCTCACTGTAGCCTTGAACTCATGGGCTTAAGCAATCCTCCCACCTCAGCCTCCCAAGTAGTTGGGACCACAGGTATTCATTGCCACTCCTGGCTAAGTTTAAAACAAACAAAAAAATTTTTTAAGAGATGGAGTCTTACTATGTTGCCCAGGCTGGCCTCAAACTCCTGGCCTCATGTGATCCTTCCCATCGTGGTCTAAGCCACCATACCTGGCCTGAATTTTCATTTCATAAAGCAAAACTGTTCAGATTTCTTATACCCACAGCAGAATGGGGGTTATAAACTCCTTGACTGATGCATCATTAGAAATGTACAAACACTCAATTTCAAATTTTAGAAAGTATGCAGTGAGTAGTATCACATTTTTCGTTAGTAAATTTGTGTTGTTCACTTGTCTCTGAAACCTACAGTAACTGTTCTGAAGAGAACAGGGATTATAGAGGTAAGAAATTAAGACACAGCCGGGTGCGGTGGCTCATGCCTGTAATCCCAGC